TTCTGGCCTTTTGGTGTTATTTGGACAGAAGAGTATCACAGACTTTCCTGCTGAGGCTAGCTTTGAATTGCAATCTTCAGATCTCAGCCTCCTGAACTGCTAGGCTTACAGGCATGTGCCAACAATGCCTGGCTAAACAGATTTTTAATAACACTAACACTAACTAACACTGATTGCCAGTTCAAATAACTCATAGAGCTATTTGAACAAACAACTTTATATATGAAACAGCTTATAGATTTTCCCCTTCCTTCCTTCTCCTTCCCTCCCTCCCTTTTTCTATTTCTCTCTCTCTCTCTCCCTTTCTCTCTCTCTTTCTTTTTTTCTTTTTTACTTTCTCTTTTCTTTTCTCTCTCTTTTTTTTTTTGTCAGTACTAGGGCTTGAACTCAACCTTGAGCTCTTACACGTTGCTTAGCTTTTTCACTCATGGCTCATGCTCTACCATTTGAGCTTCAGTTCTGGATTTTTTTTTTTTCTGGTTAATTGGAGATAAGGGACTCAGATTTGTCTGCTGTGTTTGTCTTCGAACCTCGATTCTCAGATCTCAGCCTCCTGAGTAGCTAGGATTATAGGCATGAGCCACCAGTGCCCAGCTTGTTCGCACAGATTTTATTTAGCTTACTTACTGGCTTGCTTTCTAACATTTGTCCTTTATTATTATTGTTTTATTGAACAACTTTTTTTTGCTTTAAAAAAGATCATTATAGAAAATTTAGAAAACACGAGTAAGGAAAAATTTTTGAACAATCTATAATCAAGAGATAATACTATTATAATAGTCTGTTTACATTTGTTTATATTTTTCTAAGCTTTTCATAGTTTGTTTTTAAAACACTGATTTGTGCCCAACACCTTCAATCGGCACACGGGCTAGCACAAAAAAAAGATTCATAATATGCATGCTATTTTATTAACCTTGTGGTTTTCCCTTTACACTATTTTGAAAAAATTTTCCTGACTTCAATTATTCTTACATCATCTTTTTTGTCGTTCTTACAACTGATTGTGTCTGTGTGTCTGCATGTGCCTGTGTGTGTCTGTGTGCCTTTCCTGGGCCTGAACTTAGTGGCAGGGCACTGTCCCAGAGGAGTTTTTGTGTTCAAAGCTAGTGCTTTTCCTACTGGAGCCACAGCTCTACTTCTTGCTTTGTCATGGTCAATTAGAGATGAGTCTTATGGACTTTCCTGCCTGGGCTGGCTTTGAACCATAGTCCTCAGATCTCAGCCTCCTGAATAGCTAGGACTACAGGCGTGAGCCACTGGTGCCTGGCAGATTTTAAGTATTTCTTTGGGTGTCTGTCTCAAACTTTTATGATCCCTTTTTCTTTTGTTGGGGAGGAGCAGCAGAAGCCACATCTTCTTTTAACAATTCATTGTTGGCTTTGAGTGTACTGTGTCCCTTGGTAGCCCATGTGGAAAGAATGACTGCTTGTTCTTTTCTACCCACCCCTCCAAGGTCATTGGATCGAGCATTCAGGATTGCTGTGATACTTTTTACCCTTAGCAAATCCCACTGGATCCCCAAAGAACTCCCAAGAGTAACCCTAGAATGTATATCCAGCTTGTATTAGTCACACATAACAGTCATGTATTTAATGTAAGTTAAAAAATAGCTGTTGGGTTTTTAGCCAGAAAAAGGAAAAAAGAAAAAAGATTAGATGGAAGCCATGGCTAGGGAACTCCACCCACATGGTTGGAGGCCTAGCCCTATACTCTCTGCATGATTGTTTCAGGTGGACAGGAATGTTGAGAAAGGTGGTTCATAATTAACCTACCAGGAAATCCTTCAACGTGATGGGGCCCAATCATCTACCCTCTTCCAGTCAAGCAAATTAAATTCTTTACCCATGCATATCTCTAAATTGCAATCCTGTACAAGGAAATTATTGAATCTAACCTTAGGCAGTGACCATATTCTAGAGCTTACATTTAAGCAACAGTTCTCTAAGAATTAATTTTGAGACTGACTCCATTTCTTTTGAAGAAATAGGCCCCATGCCGGAATCAATTTTTCAAGTGTATTTGCAGCTGAGTTAGGATAGCTTCTCATGGTAAGATGGGTCTCCATTAGTAAAATACACATTGTATATTTTCCTTAATTATGGCATCACATTTTCTCCAGTAAAATTGCCAGTAGGGAGAAATTTCTTGAGATGGTGTATAAACTTCTTTCTTTATTTAGAAATAAAAAAAACGGCTACAACAGTGACTATATTGCAACTTAGACATTTGAAGTTTTCTTATGAATTCATGGAATTAATTAGTTTAATTGGAAAGAGAAGAATAATTTTCTCTGAGATTGCTTAAACATTTTGTTTTTTGGGTCCGGTCATGGGGCCTGAACTCTGGGCCTGGGCACTGTCCCTCAGCTCTTCAGCTCAAGGCTAGCACTCTACCACTTGAGCCACAGTGCCATTTCCGGCTTTTTTCTTTTTGCTTATGTGGTGCTGAGGAATCGAACCCAGGACCTCAGGCATGCAAGGCAAGCGCTCTACCACTGAGCCACCTTCCCAGCCCCTGCTTAAACATTTTGTAAGCCAAAAACTGTAGACAGGGAAGCTTTCTTAAGGAAGAAGATAATACAGAAAAGGATGATTACAAGTTCCTAGGCCTTTTTCCCCCTTCATGATTGAATCTTTAGAAAATTAATTTAATTTTGTCTTCATTTGTTAACTCGTTGGTCATCATATTCACACCACTAACATAAGTTCTTGCAAGCAACTTCTTAGCAGAAAAATCAGGGATGTCCTATACAGTGTACCAAAATTTAAAAAATGAAAAAATATTGGTCCTGTTACTGTCCTAATTTATATATGTTGATAACCAAATGTTATATTTGAAAAACATTTTAGAACTGTGTAATTCTTTCCTTAACTTATTAGATGACAAAATAAAACTCCAATCACAGTCCTTAAAATGGGTCAGTGCAAAATCAGATTTCTTTCTAGAGAGAACATTTTCTTGGGAATTTATCAAGTATGTTTTCAGCTGATAATGTTTTGATTTTACAGTTCTCAAGTAACCAGTATGAAGACAGAGCTCTCATTCAATATCCAAGCCCTTGCAGTCTGGGCTAATATATGTTCTGTAAAAAAGTGAGTAACACAATTCTTTCTCTTGATGTTTTTTTTTTTCATTTTCATGAATTGAATTAGTGGGGTATGTGGGTGTGTGTGCATGTGTGCTGGTATTCAGGCTTCAACTCAGGGTCTCACACTCTTGCTTGGCTTTTTTACTCTAGGCTGGTGCTCTACCACTTGAGTCACACCTCCACTTCTTTGAATTAATGTTTAAAAGCTTCCCTTCTAGAATGGTGCCAGTATTTATATTCCATTGAGGCAAATATGTATTATTTTCTTGCTATTTTATTCTGTCCTCTGATTATAAATGATTTCAAACATTTGACCAGTTTATGAGAGTTGAGACAGATAAGTCATTTGATGTCCTAAACCACTGGCGTAAAGCTAATGTTGATTTGCCAAAGAAGCAAACAATTATTTTAATTTTTCTGATGATTAAAAAAGCCTTAAAAGTATAGAATTATTCATTCCCCTTTGTTTTCTTATTCATTTACTTCCTGATATGTTGGCATAAATATATGTATATGTACCTATACATATATGCATATATACATGTACATATATACATGTGTACTTATATATACATATATGCATACATGTATATAAGCATGCATATGTTTATAGTTTTCTTTGCTTAGCATTTAGCATCATGTAGATACCATTCTCCTATAGTAAAAAAAAATCCTTAAGATCACTTAAATACTGTATGTTATATTCCATCCATCGATTGACTATAGAAGAGTTATTTATAAATTTGATTGATTGATGGTGCTGAGTATCAAACCCAGGGCCTTGCACATGGTAGGGTAGTGCTTTGTGACTAAGAGACCTCCCTAGCCAGCCCTGGAAAACTCATTCAAAAGGATTAGTAGATTGCTTCTACTATTATAAGTGATGCTAATACTAAAGCACTTGTATAGATTACGTTTATTCATGCTTACAGATTTATTTGTACCTGTATGTCAAATAACAGAATCACCTATTATAGTTTAAGGTTCTTGACAGAGATGTGATCTAACTTTTGTCGAACATTATACTAACATACCTTCTCATACTACTAAACTCTTTTTTTCTTTTAAAAATATTTTTTATTATCTTAAAGTAGTTGTATAAAGGAGGTACTATTTAACAAACATTTTATGAACATAGTGCATTACAACTAAATTCTTAATACTGTTTTTACATTTTGAAACCCTTGATATATTGTGCATGAAACTAGGCTTCAATTTTTATATATTCTTGACTGCTTCACAAAGTTCATAAAATTATTCATATTTCATGTGAATTTCAACTTTACATCTTTACTACTAAGTTTATAATGCAATTTAATTTTATTATTATGTTTAGTGTCAGTTATTCCAATGAGGATTTTTTTAATTTAAATATTTCTTATTGAAAATGGAAAGCTTCCCAGTTCAGAATATTTCCTAAAGTTTAAGTGTATGTAATATTATGGTATACATACAGGCAACGTTAAACATACTTTTATTGTTTATTTTTAGGGACAGACAGAATCCATCACTAGTTCGGCTTTTTACTGCAATGTTTTGCATTTATTCATTATTCTTTGCATGGAGGGCAAATCTAGATATTTCAAAACCACTTTTCATGGGTGTGGTAAGTTTTACTTAGATATATCTTTTAACTAGAAAGTTTGTAAAAATTGTTCAAGTTTGTCTTTCATGAGCCTTGTAGAAGGGCAAATGATTTCAGAATTGTTAAAATTATAAATATGTTCTTATAAGCCACAAATTAAGTCATTGAGCCATCAAAACTGTGGCCTATTTCTAGAGGAAAAAGGTACATTTATTTTTAGTTAACAGAGTAGCCAATTTGAAAAATAAACCTAAGAATTCAGTAGCTGTGTGTGCCTCTGTATGCGTGTGCGCGTGTGCCTCTATGAGCCTGTGTATCTGTTTGCAAATATGAGTCCAACTGTACTTCACTTGGAATTTTCTCTCTCTCTCTCTCTCTCTGTAGATAAATGGATGGATGGATGATATTAATCCTAATAGGAGAATCTTTATCAACCTGTACCCTTACTTCTTACCTTACCAGTCCCAAAAGAGAACCTATTTTTCTATTTTCCCTGGTAGCCATCTGAAGTTAGGGCTTTTCTCTTATATAATAGAAACTCTAAATGAAGATAGCCCTTTTCCAGCAGTTGAAACCAATTGGTGTTTTTGTTGTTGTTGTTGTTGTTGTTGGCTATTGTGCTTGAACTCTGGGCCTAGGCACTGTCCCTCAGCTCTTGAGCTCAAGACAAATGCTCTACCACTTGAACCACAGCGCCACTTCTGGTTTTTCTGGTGGTTTATTGGAGAATCTCACAGACTTTGCTGCCTGGGCTGGCTTTGAACCTCAATCCTCAGATCTCAGCCTCCTGAGTAGCTAGGATTACAGGCATGAGCCACCAGGTGCCCAGCTCCAATTGGTATTTTTTCAAGAACTAGGGAGTCACCCTGAAACTGGAGGATGTGGCACCATGGTGGGCAAAGGGATGTCCTCATGCTGCCTCTAGAGTGGGTAGGCTCACCAGTATTCACCCTAGTGCCCCATCCACTCCCACCCATGGGTGCCACAGGTACAGAGTCTGCCCTGGCCTAGTGCTTCCTGTGGACAGCTGTCTTCCAAGGGAAAGGGAGAGTCTCGAAAAGGAAAAGGAAAGCTGTACAGACCTAGTCCCAGCTGCCAACCCACAGGAAGAAGTCAGGGAGAGGAAGAGAGGAGAGCTTGCTTTTCTATGTGGATAAAAAGGGGGTAAAGTGAAATCACTTTTCTACTTCTTTCACCCTACTTACTACTGGGGTTCAAGGTGAAGGCTACAGTATTGAGATGAATATGTGGTTCCAAACTGGGGAGGAATGCTTCAAAGCTGGAAAAATAAAGTGACCTGGGGCTAGACTCAGGAGATGAGTTAGGAGGGTCTGAGTAACTTATATATTTGTAAAATAGCCACACACCTGACTGACAGAAGCAACTTCTTACCTGAGCATACCGCCTGTGTGTCTCCTTCGTAGGTGGAGCGATTCTGGATGCAAAGCAATGCTGTGGTGGCCGTCCTTGCTGGCATTGGTTTGTCTGCACTTGTGTCTGAGACTAATCGAGTGCTGAACAGCAGTGGGCTGCAGCATCTGGAGTGGCTTTCAGCAACTCTGTTTGTAGTTTACCAACTATATTCTAATTACAGGTAACAGCACGTGGTTATCTTTTGGAAAGTAACTCAAGCCAAAAATATCTGGTTATTTCAATTTTGGAGCTTTATGTTACTTTTCACCTCTATTGGTTTCTAAGACCTGAAATGAGACAGCTTGGTCCAAATGCAGTGATCACCAGGGCAGTCCAGGCTTAGTAACAGGGATATCTGCACAAGGCTGGATGTTTTATCTCATTTTGATTTTTTTAAATTTACCTAGAGAAATAGAGTAGATAACAAGTTTCCTGATGATAAAATAGTTACATCTATATAGTAAGAAGCAGTCATTATGGCACTGATGGCAAAGGCTGGGATGATAGTATTCCTAGATTGTTTATTTTCTTTGTGATGCTAACTTAGTGATTCAGCCTCAGGCAGTGTTCCTGGGCTTTGTCAGTTGACGGACCTGATAACTAGAGGAAGGACACTGCCTTTCCTAGTTTTTGCTGCATTATCTCCCTTGTGGTCCTTTTCTCTATTCATAGAAGGTTCTCTATGAATAGTGAAGTGAGAAGGTCCACTTTATGATTGAAAGGAACTATTTTGCTATAGTGACAAATAGCAAAAAATGTCTAGAGAGAAGCAAAAACTCAATGAACTGTTCCATGCCTTCCTTCTCATTCGTCTTATTTCCTAGAGACTCCTTAGGAGAAAAGAACATAGGGATCTTGGGCTACAGGAAGATGATGGGAAGGACCGACCTCTGCATGCAAGAGTCACACAAGTGTCAAACAAATTTGTGTCAGAAACTGACAGATTTCCCTTTGTATTTCCAAAAGTTCCTTTGGAGAAAATAGAATTAATATGAAATTATCTTCAGTTTTCTGTGCAACCAGAAATTGTTAAATGACGTTGCATTACTTTCTGGGGAAGAAGTAGCGATTCTTGACCATGAACTGATTCCCTTTGTATAGAAATGATTATAAATTCTAGATGTAAAATAAAGCTATTTTGTTCCTTTACAGTTACCTCCCCCTTCGTTATCAGATGATGGCACTTTTTCATATCTATATATCTATATATATATATATGAAATATATATATATATATCTTCTCAGAGGATAGCAATTAAAACACTTTGAAATGCTAAATGTAGATTGTATGATGGGAAAGAAACAGCAGGGGAAAACAAGCTATTTTTAAAACTGTAGCAAAGATTTGCTGTTTTAACTTTTAAAATCTTTTTATTTAGTATTTGTGACCAAAGAACCAACAATGTGATTGATAAATTTGCAAAGAACCTTCTAGACTCGATGCCTCATGATGCAATCATCTTACTCAGAGGAGATTTACCTGGAAATTCTCTTCGTTACATGCATTACTGTGAGGGGCTGAGACCTGATATTTCATTAGTAGACCAAGAAGTAAGTATATGAAAAATATAGTCAGAATATAGCCAGATGATAATACACACCTATAGTTCTAGCTACTTGGGAAGCCAAGGTAGGAGGTTCTAAGACTTATGTCCATCACTGGTTTTTGAAGTTTATGTAGTGATACTCCAAATAAACACATAAATAAACTTCAAAAAACAGTGATGGACATAATTTTCATGATCTATTGATGGTGAATTTTTTGTTTTGGTTTGGTTTTGCCTTTTTGAGACAGGAGGATCTTTCAATGTAACCTCAAACTCAGAAACTGCCTCGGCTTCCTGCGTGCTGGGCTTACGAAAGTGTGACACCACACCTAAGTCATAATCATTCTTAGGTCAATTGTTTATCACATTCTTTGGCTTATTTCATCGCTCATGGCATAAATTATATGACTTGTCTCTTTCTCATTTAAACTGAATAGTTTTTATTAAAAATTAATATGTTAGCTAGGTACCTAAACTCCTACCTACTCGAAAGGCTGGGATTGGAGGATCACAATTCCAAGCTAGCCCCAGCAGGAAAACCCATGATACTCTTGTCTCCCAGTTAACCACCAAAACACCAGAAGATATAGAGCACTAGCCTTGAGCAAAAAAAGAAAAAAAAAGTGAGGGACAGTGCCCAGGCCCTAATTTCAAACCCCAGGACTGGCACACAAAAAAAATTAATATCTTTTGGGGCTGGGAAGGTGGCTCAGTAGTAGAGCGTTTGCCTTGCATGCTTCAGGCCCTGGGTTCAATTCCTCAGCACCACATAAGCAGAAAAAAAAAAAGTTGGAAGTGGCACTGTGGCTCAAGTGGTAGAGTGCTACCCTTGAGCTGAAGACCTGAGGGACAGTGCCCAGGCCCAGAGTTCAGGCCCCACGACCGGACCCCCCCCAAAAAAAATTAATATGTTGTATGTTCAATTCAAATAACATGTTAGGTCTGTAGCTCACATAATAAAACCTGAAAATATTTATTTTGTTATGTATGTTGTATTGTAAAATCGTTATTATTTCTTGAATATTTAGTGAGTTCACTCATCCAATTAACACTGTCCAGTGGCTTAGGAGCTAAAATATATTAGATTAAATATAAAATAAATCAATCAGTGAGTAAGAGAGCAGTTCACTTTGCTATATAACTTTTGCATAAACTTTATCAATCTTATGACAAAACTATGTTAGAAGAATTTTGAAAATTTTGATGGCTTTTAAAACAATTTTCTGGAATTGGAAAATAGCATTTTCAGAGTAGTCATTAGGAAAAGAGAAATTTTTAATCTTGAAAGAATAATGATAAATTCAATCAAACAGAATATCAGGCAAATACTTGTTTTGATAAATTGTGTTGAATTAATAATTAGAATTTTGGGAGAAAACTATACAAAACACTTCCAGATGCCTTATGTGAAAATTTTTGCAAACTACACATGTAGTAATAAGTTGTTCTCATTTATATTTGCACACAAGTTGGTGGATTTTTATCTTCAGTCTAATTTCTGGCAAAAGCTAGCTTATTTATTGGTACATGCTATTATACTATATTTGGGGGGAGGAGGGGACTTGAACTCAAGGTCTGGTGCTTTCGCTTGTGCTGATCACTTGGGCTATGTCCCCACTTCAGGTTTTTTGCTAGTTAATTAGAGAATGTCACAGGCTTTTCTTCTTGGGCTGATTTAAACCATGATTCTCAGATCTCAGCCTCTGGAGTAGCTAGGGTTACAGGCATAAGCCACTGGCACCCAGCCAAACAAAAGGGTTTTTTTAACTTTGAGGCTTAGGTTACGACATGATTGTACTTATGAAGAGCAGAATTACAACTTACTTATTATAGGTTCTTTTGAAGAAATGCATGAGAGAGTGTAGATATGTTACATGTCTGTGTTTTATCTAGGTTGTCTAGTTTGGCCATCAGAGAAATTTCAGCCAGGTGCTGTAGGCCTAGATTTCTACTGGAGGAATGTTCAGAGTGTTAAAGTAACATACCATGGAGCTGAAGAGACTGGAAGTGTCTGACTTCCAGTGATGCTGTTATGAAAGCCAAGTGCACATTCCCCAAGAATAAGAATGGGGAATTCATCTGGACTGTAGGTCAAATGCATGAGGCTAAATGAAGTTAGGTATTAATGTCATGGATGATAGACATCTTAACACATAGGATCCAAGGTGTAACTCACTCTTTTTTTCTTTTCTTTTTTTTATCAGTTGTGGGCCTGAACTCTAGGCCTGGACACTGTCCCTCGGCTCTTCAGCTCAAGGCTAGTGCTCTACCACTTGAGCTATGGCACCACTCTTGGCTTTTTCTGCTTATGTGGTGCTGAGGAACTGAACTCAGGGCCTTGTACATGCAAGGCAAGCACTGTACCACTGAGCCACCTTCCCAGCCCGTAACTCACTCTTAAAAGAGTACCCCTATGATTGATTCCTCAGTTGTGTAAATGTATTTTTCAGTCATTTAATGAGTTGTTTACACTTTTCCTAGTATTTGATTAGCTTGATTCTTTCAGGCAATACACTAAAAGTATGGCCTTCTGTGATTTTTCTGCAGATGATGACTTATGAGTGGTATTTACCCAAGATGGCAAGGCATTTACCAGGAGTCCACTTTCCTGGAGACCGGTGGAATCCTGTGGAAGGAGTATTACCCAGTGGAATGGTCACATTTAATCTTCATCACTTTCTTGAAATAAATAAACAGTAAGCATTCTTTTCATATAATAGCTTTTCTAAAATCTTAAGCTTTTCTAAAATTGTTTCTGTAGCAGCTGTGCCTCATCCAAAAGACCAATTTTCTACACCTATTTCCCTGTCACCGGTGAGATTATCTTTGTAATTAAATTGAATATCTGTGCATAAATGAGGCCAGGCAGAAATAAATGTTATTGTTCTGGGTAAAGGAAAAATAAAGACAGATTAGCAAGAACAGCAAATAAGATCTTAGCACAATTCTGAGAAATTGGAGATGTGCCTGCCTACTTGAAATCATGGCAGGTGGATCGCAAGCAATTACAGTTTCCTCCTGATCAACACCGTAGACCCCTTTTAAGTGCAAAGCAATTTTTTTTTCAGGAATAATCACTATATAAAAATAGCTTAAGGATTTTTATAGAGGATAAGACATTTTTATAAATAAGAAAAACGCCTACAGTTTATGCTAGCTGAGAATAAAATAAGAGAATTGTGAATTCTATAGTTGAGAACATAAAATTATTTTGTAGTTAAGGTCAAGAATAAATAACTCCTTCAATGGTATAGTGTTGAACATTTCTCCTGTCCATGAAATGCTTGGGTTCATCTAGAGCTTACAGAAGAAAATCTTATTTCATGATTTTTTTTCTTGTAAAGACTTGGAAAAAAAATTCCAAAGTTTTCAGTGACAGATATTTTCAGTGGCTCATGAAATAATATAAGTTCACCCTCTAAAATATATTCCTTTAACCACTTCCCTCCTGTTACATAAAAGTAAATTGTTACTGCAGTTTTTATCATATATCTTGGTACAAGTTTTTGTTTTTTCTGCTGATTGTTGTGCAATTACCATTTACAAACATGGCTTTTCACAGTCTGTTTTGGGTTAATATTTATCATTTCAAGTGCCATGTAGAAGCCTTATCTCTCGTTTCCAATTTTCATGCACATATTAAAGAATTTACAAGAAAAACTATTCAATAATATTTATCCAGGTGTTTTCCTGGTCTGTGGCTGTTCCTTCAGCCCTAATATCCCAACTCCCCTCTGATGTCATCCCCCTTTTGGGAAGATACTCTGTTAGCGTTCCTACTAGAGCATGACTGTTAGCAGTGGGTTCTCTTTAATCCTCCCATTATCTGGAAATGATTTTATTTCACCTTTATTTCTTAAGGTTTGCAGATGTAGAATTCTGGGTTGATGATTATTTTCCCCAGGAATTAAAAAAATGTGATTTTTTTTTTAAAGACACTTTTGACTTGTGTGTTTTCTGATGAGAAACTTCATTCAAGTTATTGATTATACTATAAATTGAAATGTGACAGCTTTCCCTGGCTACCTTCAAGGTTTTTTGTTTGTTTTTAGTTGTCAGCAGTTTGATTATGATGAGTCCGAATGGGATTGATGTTCTTTTTAGCTTAATAACCTGTTTTGGGGGTTTCCTGAGTTCCTTAAATTGTCTTTTGTAAAATGGAGACTGCCAGGTTGTCCTAAGACTACTTTTTTTTTTTGGTCAGTCATGGGGCTTGAACTCGGCCTAGGCACTGTTCCACAGCTCTTCAGCTCAAGGCTAGCACTCTACCACTTGAGCCACTGTGCCACTCTGGTTTTCTGAGTGGTTTACTGGAGATTAGAGTCTCATGGACGTTCCTGCCTGAGCTGGCTTTGAGCTGCCATCCTCAGATCTCAGCCTCCTGAGTAGCTAGGATTACAGGCATGAGCCACCGGTGCCCAGCTAAGAGTACCTTCTTTTAATTATGGTTCCAATGTCTTTTCTATCTTCTAAACATTTGTAGTCATAGTTCTATGAATCCCACATGCACTATTGCATGTATGGTCCAGGACCTGGGTGGTCATATGTTCTGCCAACAATTTTGTAAATCCCATTCAGAATCAGATCTGTTGACAGGTTGGGCTAACAGCTCAGCAGTATGTCAGCAGTTCATATTCAGTCTCGGTTCTGGTCACCTTAGTACTTTCAGCTCCCTAGGCCTTTCATTCACACTTAAGCTGGGGTGTTTTGTTTTGTTTTGTTCTGCTGTGTGTGTCTGTGTGTGTGTGTGTGCGCACGTGCATGCACTTGCACATGCTACTACTGCTACTGGGTTTTGAACTCAGGACCTTCTGCTCTCACTGGGGATATTTTGTTCACTGGAACCAGCTTTTTCCTGGTTAACTGCCCAGGCTGGCTTGGAACTGTGAACTGCCTTTTGAGCAGCTGAGAATATAGACATGAGCCATAGGCTATTTCTATTTTTACCTATAAAATAAAAAGAGATATGGAAGGCCACATGTTAGGCAGTAGCAGAGCAGTTTTCATAGTAATAAGGCTTGATCCCAAGTGATGGGAAGATGTGTCTCCTTACTACCGCCCTCATAAGCAATAGTTTTACACTAAGATTACTTGGGAAAGATTTAATAAACCAAAATGTTCGTAAATGGTTTATTGGTAACTAAAGTTTAAGAAGTCATAAAGGAACTTTCTAACTGAAAACTTCGAGTTTTAACTTAGAAGCACGCCATGTATTTTTATCTCTTTGATAGAAAAGAAACATTTGCTTGCATTGGAATCCATGAAGGTGACCCAACCTGGAGAAAGAACTATTCACTTTGGCCTTGGGGCTCTTGTGACAAATTAGTTCCTTCAGAGATTGTATTCAACCCTGAGAAATGGATTACACTAACAAGAAACCTTTATAATTGGACTGAAGAATATGGAAGGTATAAACAGTTACATTTTTAAGTAGAAGATAGCAGCTGTATTTGCCTAAAAATGATTACATTTTGAGATGCTATAGTGAGACCTTGTCTCAAAAACATAACAACGGAATCCTATGAGCAGAAACTATAAAGGTCAATATAATGGAATATACCACATTGTGTCACAGGCCAGAGCTAGGTAACCAGGCATGCGTCAAAGCACTCTGTCTCCATCCACAAAGAAAAGAGAAAATAACACATCTTGGATGTGTTGTTCAAATGGGAGAGTGGAAAAAGCCAAATGAGAGCTCAAAACCCTGAATTTAAGCCCCAGTACTGGCACTAAAAAAGGAAAGGGAAGGGAAGGGAAGGGGCAAGGAGGAAAGAAGGAAAAGAAAAGAAAGGACAGGAAGAAGGAAGGGAGGAAGGAAAGAATGAATGAAAGGAAAAGGAAGGAATAGAGAAAGAAAGGAAAAGAAAGATCTTCAGACAGCTGATGAGTAGTAGTATGTATGTACAGTACTACTTATTATCTTCATTCTATTAAAATAGATATGTAATTGTAAATTTTCAATTAAGAAAAAACAACAAATGGTGTGATCAATGTCTTCAAGCAGCATCAGAGCTCCAGCAAGTTTCTCAAAGCCAAGGGGGGTGGAGGGCTTCTGGACACTTTCTCTGCATTTCATTTTTTTGAGACATTATTAATTATTTGCTGCCCATAAAGTATCATCATTGCTTATACCTTTCTTTACCACCTAGCTTCCACCTAACAGCTCTTTGGAAGAGCTGACCCCTACTCTTCCCCCTACCTCTAGCCTTCCTATCCCCCTCACCCAAGCAATCTCTTCTTTGCTATCTGGAGGCACTGGAACTCATTATGCAAACCAAAATTCTGATACATTGACTTTTTAATTTGATCACTATCAGTACTTCAATATCCAGCAGATTTGAATGGTCTTATAAGATTATAAAACAAACATCTGTCTATATCAATAAATGTAACACAGAAAAATGCTATTCTTCTTGAAACTGAAGGTTTGATCCATCTTCTTGGGAAGCTGTGGCCAATGAAGAAATGTGGCAAGCCAGGTAACCAATATTCATTTTGGTCTTTGCAGTCCATTTTTATTACTTTTGCAGCACTGGAGATGATCCTAGGCCCTCATGCTTCCTGCACAAGTACTCTACCGCTTGAGTCATGCCCCCAGCTCTGCAGTCTGTTTTTTGATATGGCGGAGAAGTAGCCTAAAGCACTTTTCACTTGGGACCCAGAGATGTGTTAATAAAAATAAGTTATGAACAATTATTTGGTTTGAGGCATTGTATTAATCAACCCACAAAGAAGCTTTCTTAAACCTACTTTATTTAAAAAACAAACAAAAAACTAGACATACAGAGAGTTTCCAAGGCTACTCAGCTACAAGTGATAGAGTCCAAATCTCACATCTGACTCTGAGACATCTTAACAACTATATTCCTACTTTAGCTAAACTAACGTAAGTCAGATCTGTTGAATGTAATTTGTTTATTTCAACCTTTGCTTCCTTTGTAATGTGTCTGTGGGTTATGAAAGCCCTCAGTTAATGCTTACTAGAGGCCAGCACTACACCAGCCTTCAGAGCTTCATACATGAATACAACACAGCTCCTACCCTCATAGAGCTCTCAGTCTGATAGAGCACACTGATAGAGCTACAGAAATTTGACTCTTGTTCAGGGAGAGAAGTTATACTTCCCATATAAAGTATTTAAGATAATTATTGTTGATATTGTTTTTTATCAAATATATTTTATTTTAAATTTTTTATTATTATAAAGGAGATGCACAGAAAGATTAAAGCTACCTAAGTCAGGTAAATAGTACATATCTTTTTGGACAATATCACCCCTACACTTGTTCTCTCCCAGTGTTTCCCTTCCAGCCCTACCCACAAGTTGTATAATTCATTTTCAACATAGGATCCAGTGAGTACCACTGCTGCATTTGTTCACCCTTTGTGCCTCCATTTCTGTGCCTCCCCTTCTACTCCCAAAGACAGATAAACCCTGGTATTTTTTTTAAATAATCAAAACAACCAAGACTAGCAGTCTTGGGCCTAAAGATTCTAAGTAATGCTGACAGAAGTATTAATATATATGGAATGCTTCTTTCGGCAAGAATGTATTGATGCCCAGTCTGTACCATGAATTGTGTACCATTAATTGAGTTATGATAAAGGCTTACATATTTTAAGTAGGTTTATAATGATTTGTCAAGCTATACCACTCCAGCATAAAGATTACAAAAACAGATCCATGTCACTAGTTTTTGAACAGCCAGAAAATGGCATTCTGAAGTTGCTAGTCTAACCATAGGGACAAATACTTGCCTTGAAGACCTGATCAAAGATGCCTGCATAGTTCTTCATTGTGACTGAATGCAGGAAAGCTGGGGGAAATCACATAAAAGAAGAAAATAGGCCATTATTCATGCAGGTATTGGTTTAATTGATGTGCTGAATACAATGTGAATGGGTTCATTTGGTCAGTGAGTCCAGCTCTCTTTGGAGCGCTGGCCCCACGTGGCAGGAGTGCCTGTGATGGGTCTTCAGGGATATGCTGGCAAAGGCCGCACGTCTCCCCCTCCCAGACGCTCTGACATGACAGTGGTGATCATCTGGAGTAGACCAGTCATGACAGCCATGAGGAACAGACACTTTTCTGAAGATTTGGTTGTAAATGTATCTTGGGGATAGTATCTTGGTTCTAAGTAAACTTACATAAGTGTGGGAAACTTAAAAATAATACAATAGGAGGTCTTAGGACAGTCAAGTGGTAGCGTGCATGTTTGCCTAGCAAGTACAAGCCCCAAGTTCAAACCAAGAACAAAAGCAAAAAAAAAGTGTGTTGGGGCAGGGATAGAATTGTGTATATCATACCAGTTGAAAGCATGAAGATTTGGCCCTGAATGAAAACTTGATGTTGTGATTTTAATGAAGATTCCCCTCCCCTACCCACAGGATGAAAACCCCATTCTTCATCTTTAGCCTGGCAGAAACCGCAGATATGCCGTCCAGTGTGAAAGGTCGACTCTACACTCATGCATATAACGTATGTGACTCTGGTAGACAGAGGGATATTTGGAGGGAAGGCAGTAGTGGCTGGAGTGTTTTTTGTTTGGTTTCCAGCTTATTGTGGGCATTGTATCTGTGGGCTAATGCTCAATTGTATCACCGTGTATGAAGTGGATAATTGGTAGACACACAAAATAGCTGTGTCTTTACTGGTATGTTACCATCCATGGTAAAGGAGACTGTGGATGTGAGTAAGTTTGAGGTCCTGCTATGAGAGCGTATCCTGGATTACCGAGGTGGGTCTGATGTGATCACAAGCAGAGTTATAGAAAGCAGTTAGAGCCAGGATGCTGGTGGCTCACGCCTGTAATCCTAGATAGTCAGGGGGCTGAGATCTGAGGATAGCTGTTCAAAGCCAGCTTGGGCAGGAAAGTCCATGAAACTCTTATCCCCAATTAACCACTAGAAAACCAGAAGTGGTGCTGTGGCTCAAGTGGTAGAACGCTAGCCTTGAGTTGAAAAGCTGAGGGACAGCACCTAGGCCCAGAGTTCAGGCCCCACAACCGACAAAAAAAAAACAAAAAACAAACAAAAAAAAAAAACATGAGCCTAAAACTTTAAAAGATTAGTTCTCATGGACTGAGGTTGTAGCTCAAGTAATAGAGTGCCTTCCTAACCAAGCATGGAACCCTGAGTTCAAACCCTAGTAGCTCAAAAAAAAAAAAAAATTAGGGCTGGGAAGGTGGCTCAGTGGTAGAGCGCTTGCCTTGCATGCTTGAGGCCCTGGGTTCGATTCCTCAGCACCACATAAGCAAAAAGAAAAAAGCCGGAAGTGGTGCTATGGCTCAAGTGGTAGAGCTCTAGCCTTGAGCTGAAGAGCTGAGGGACAGCGCCCAGGCCCAGAGTTCAGGCCCCACGACCGGACCCCAAAAAAAAAAAATTAGCTTGCATATCTCAGTCATAGCAAATCCTGTTCATCTCTATATAGGGTTATATTCCTGTGAAAACCAGGCATCATTTTTTAAATAATTTTTATTGAGATTAAGTGATTACATAAATTTCACAGTATTGTGAAACAGTGATACCTAAAGTCACAAACATATTTTAAACTTCACAAGGCAAATTGTCATTATCACGATCTAAAATGTTTGTGAATTCTATGAGCTTTCGCAATAGAACAGTGTCTCCCACATCGGGTGATATGTCCATTTCTTTCCTTTTGCTGTGTGTAAGCTGTTCCTTCTCTCCCTCTCCTTCCCTCCCTTCCATTGCTGCCTTGAGTTGCTTAGTTCGTTTTCATCAATATCCAGTCCAGGCAATATTTTTGTGGCGAAATCAGAGACTTCCGGATAGTTCCTGTTCTTACTGGATAGTTCCCCTTCTCACTGGTGATGTCTGCAGGAGTCAGTTGTCAAGCTGCTGCTGAAGCTCATCTGTGGATTCCTTGTCACAGCAGACTTTATGCTTTTCAGCAAATGCAAAGGATAGCTATGGTTATGGCTCCAGGTATACAGTAACATTTATGAAACAACACTTATAAGACAACACAGTCCACCCCTAGTACTAGGTTTTCAAGAATATTCTTGTTAAGTGTAAAGAATATTTGTGATTATATACTTCCTTACTCGGTAGCTTCTTCATTTAGGTGATAGTATGTACAGAAGTAGTAAGAGAACAAGGAGTACCCAGCTCCCATAGGAATAAATTAAAGATGTCCCCAATGAACTGACAGTTCTCCACAGAGATTAATGTCAGAGGAATGTACAGAAAAGAAAGTAGAATTCCACATAGTGAGAAATTATTGGTTACTTAATGCTCAGCACATTTGATTCAGTCATCCAATTACCTCAATTACAGAACACTCTAGAAAGGTGGTGTGATTGTTCCAAAGAATTGTAGATAGGTCATATGGAGCTTCTGATGCTACGCAGCAGGTGGGGAAACAAAAATTCCTTGAAAGGCTGTCTGTATTTTGGACCCCAAACCCTTATGGATGTGAAAAACAGTTTATTGAGCAGCTGCTTAGTGTCAGTAGCTTGCTATACCTTTACCCACATTCTTCCTTGGAGAGAAGCTGGGGAAGAGGAACAACTGAGAAGAAGATTAAGAACAACGGGTAGAGAAACAGATTAAAAGGGAAGAGGCTGACTTATTAGCTTTGATGTACATGAAGCTGCTTCTTGTGACCCTTTACTCTTTCATACAAGAAAAGGAAAACAGCTTACACTAAGCAAAAAGAAAGAAATGTAAATATCACCTGATGTAGAAGAAATAATTGTATTGTCAAAGCTCATAGAATTCACAAACTTTATAGACCATGATAATGACAGTGTGCCTTATGAAGGTTAAAATGTGTTTAATGACTTTAACTAAGTAACACTATTCCACAATACTGAGAAATATGTGAAATTATGTAATCACTTAATCTCAATTTTAAAAAATGCAAAGTTTGGAATGTTCTAAAACAATGAGATTCACCACAAAACACTCCAAAATTAACATTTTTTTTAAAAGGAACTAAGAGAGAGGTTACGGTAAAAGGCAACTTGAAGCCTGGGACTTACTAAATATCAAAATGATATTGTGGATTGTGGAATTTGAGATGTGCATTTGTCTTGCTCTGGAGTAGAAGTAGAGACAGTAATATAATTGGTCCCTTTAAACTAAATGATACTGTGGATGAAATTTTAATAAAAAATAGATAAATACTTGTCCCATAGAAAGCATCATTGCTATTTTGTGCTCAGAGTCTACTGGAAAACTCCTGGGAATCCAACTCTGGTGTGGTGGTCCCCAAGAAGGCTGGCTGTGACATTTACAAAGAAGCAAGCATAACACTCCATTTTGCAGATTTGTGTCTGCATTTTTTATGTTAAACTTTAATGCACTTTTCTCTGGAAATGTTAATATCAGATGCTAATGATTAGCACTGTGTCTGATGTTGAAAAATCAGATTTCTGAATTCTTGTGGACGAAGTTTTAACTATCAAGGTCATAAACTATAAGCTACCGTGAAGATTTTAGATGTCTCACTCGAAGGCTGTCTCTGAAATTCTCTTTTATGTCCATTACAATAATGGAATTGTTGGGATCATTTTTATTGTTGCTAATTATTATTGTTTTTAATGTGGAGAGAAATTCACATAAATAATTTGGAGCAAAATTTCTAAATTCCTTCCAGTTCTTTTTTCCATGCAGTCTGCTAAAGAAAGCTATTTTTTCTCCAGCAGCTAAATTTAGAGTTTCAACCTCTCTGCCTGTTGAGTAAATAGCTTTCCACCAGTTAGCACTAAATCCTTTCCCAGAAGATCTTTCTGGAGGAAGAGCATTTTGTCCTAACACATGTGTCTCGAGTTCCCCCCTCAACATCTGAAAACCCCAGAAGCAGTTTGAGATGAAGCATATTTGCCTCCTGCTACTGTAATAATTACAGTAACATCCTTGCATTTTCTGCATGGCCTAGCAACGATTAGATTTTTACTGTAGGCTGCTTGGATTTTTTCCCCCCTTGTGTTATTAATTCCTCTGTGTTTTCTGTTTTTGAGGGGAAAAAGGAGACAAAGAACAACAATGGAATAGCAACATTTTTGCTGTTTTCCAGTTGTATAAGGAGATTGTCAATTTACAAAAGGAGCACCCAGTGAATTGGCACAAGAACTATGCCATCGCCTGTGAGCGGATGCTGCGTCTTCAGGAGAGAGACACAGACCTGGAAGTCCTGTTGTCTGAAACCATCAAACATTTTCGTCTCTATACTCAAAAAGCACAAAATGATCCCCAGCTAGCTGATATTTCAGTTGCTCTCAATCACCTAAGAAAAGAACTGCAAAGTCTGAGAAATAGGAAAAAGGCCTAACCCAGCAAGAAGTGAAAAACTGCTTGTCATTTCGCTTCCAAAATTCTGAAGTCCAAAAGTTTTTCCTCCAAGCAAAAACAAAAACAAAACAAAACGAAAAGCTAGCAGTACTGTATCAGGATGCTCCACCTGAGATGTACTATGTATGCAAATTCTGTTTATTCTGTGTTCCCAAATTAGCATTTCCAGAGGCTTTCAGAAACATCCTTCCACACTCACTCACCAAATGACTAGGTCTGATACTAGGTTCTACATGACTAGTTTTCTTATACTGAAACTATTAATCATAAGTCTTTTAAGGGCTGTGCTTATTAGGATCAGTTTTAAAAGTTAAATTCTTAAAATCTTCATACCAACTCCAAGACGCTTTCTATTTCTTGCAAGTGAAATGGTTTTTTAAAAGAAGGAACCTTGACATGCTTCATTTTAGGGTTTCTTTTTTAAGTAATGGCTTGTTCCACCATCTCATACTTCATACTACTTACCTTTCCCAGTAGGTGTTATTCTGAAAAAAGTTTGAATCGTATTGTACCCGATAGCTTTCCTACAATCACCAAAAAGAAAAGCTAATTTAATGTTTGCTTATTTCAGTTACAGAAATGAATGGCAAATAAAAAGTATTTTCTATTTACTCAATTTATTTCATATTTATATATTACTTCTTTTAGACTCACAGATCTAGGCCCAATAATTAGTAGGCTCCTGCTGCCCAAATGCAAAAAATAAAAGGGGGGGGAGTGTGATTATTGGGGGATGGGGAAGTTGTTCAATAAATTCATTTCTGTTACAAGCATCTTTTATACACATTACTAAAGAGAACAGAGTAAGAAATGCAAATAATGGTTCTTTATTTTATTATGACAGTTAATTAATAGCAACCTGTTTTAATGAATAAAGTCACTCAGAGTCCTTCAGCACTTCCTAAGTAGAGGCCAGAATCCGTAGGGATTCTTTTCCCCCCAATTGTATAGCTCCTAGACTCCAAGCACCATATAGGCCCCTGTATAGAAATGCTCACTAATGAAGAGGGAGGGCCAGAAGCTTGTCTGCATTCAAAGATCACTGGTGAGTCATTCAGCAAGAAAAGGCCCCTTACCAGGAATAGTCACAGTTCCGTGGCATTGTACTAGCAAAAGGGTCTGATCAAAGGTCTCCTGTGGCGCTTGCATGGTTCCCTTTCATACTACGACCATAATTAAAACCACTAATTCTCTTTTAAAATGCTGCAGGATGCCATGTAGGCATCTGTCTGGAGTGTCCTTTGTGATGTCATAAGCTGTTAAGGACCGGTGCCGAGGGCTTTTGAGCGAAATGCCAGTCATGAAGGTGCTTCAAGACAAGGGTGCCTCTAAAAGCTTGACAGGGCCTTGACTGCACAATTCGAGCTGAATTTGCCCCTTGTCAGCTGCCAGTAAATAAATCTCAAAGGGGGAAAAGCTGAAGTTTCATTACCTGATCCATGGGGCTTTGTTGGTTTTGGCATCACACAGGGGAAGCTCTTGCCCCGCCATTCTCTGGATTTGAAGATGTCCATTGGAGCCTGCAGTGCCTGGACAGGGTTCAGAGCGGAACCTTTTGAAGAGTGTCAATAGTTGTAACAGTTCAGCTGTTAGGAAGACAAATAAATGGAGGAGCTCATTAATCCGCTTTTGGCTCTCAGTGCCTTTTGCCCTTTTATCACAGCCTTATTAGGCTCCTACTCATCTTGAACCAGAAAAAAATGAATTGAAGTTGTTGAGGACTAATTGGCAAAGACTTTTAATCATGGGCCAAGAACTTTCACTGACTTGAAAGTAACTTCTCCACAGGGAAGAGCTAGAAACCTGGTTTACCTTAAAACCAAAATGTGTTGGAGTTCAGTGTGGTGTAAAATTTAAGAAAGCGTTGATAAATTGTCTTAAGTGTATCTATTTGAAAGAAATTATGCAAGATTATGATTTTTTGTACTTGTCTGGGAAAAATAATAAAATACAAAGATTCCTTTAAAAATGCATTGTCTTTATTGGTTCAGAAAAGATGACATGTATATGTGAACTGATGTTTGAACATCTCTACCCACTAGTGTGAATGTTTATCCGCATGCCTGTATGTTCATACAGTCATTGAAGAACCTTATTATAAGTAATATTTTTCTATTAGCCTTAACAATGGCATTGGAGGCCCCTTTTTGAGACTATCTACTTTTAAATTTCATGTCTCTGCCCTCTAAGGAATATATATGTCTGAAGATGCTGCGTAGGTTGATCGTTGATAAAACATAGATTATCTGGTATTTGTGCCATGGTGGCTTTTGGCCACTCTGTCTTTGAGAAAGTAATAGTATGTGACCCAGGATAGATGGATCATGGTTATTGAAATTTCTACAAAAAATGGAGATGAGGTTTAGAGATGGATGTTGGGCTTCAGTCCCAGACCAACGGTTTGAGGAATGCTTTCCCCTCTACAAGCTTCTTTCTCTTTCTTTCCTTCCCTTTCATTTTCCTTTCCTTTCATTTTTCCTTTCCTTTCCTTACATTTCCTTTCCTTCCTTGCTTTCTCTTTCTCTCTCCCTCTCCCCCTTTCTCTCTTTTCCTTTTTCTCTTCATTTCTCTTTTTCTCTCTTCCTCTGTTTCCATCTCTCTTCTCCCCCCCCCCCTCTTTCTTCTCTTACTTTCCTGGGCTAGTGGACAGCACCATAAAATTCAATAGAAGGGGTGTCCTTCTGTCTAACCCCCTGGCACTGAAGAGGATGTGAAGATGACTACTCATGCAGGATTTGGCCAGCGTCCCAGGGGTGCCGTAGCTTGGCCGGATGACAGGAACCCCACAAGGCCAACTTCTGCCTGGACTTTGGCCTGAGGAGCAAGTGGGAGCCAGCGAAACTGTCAGCCTCTCCACATGTTGCTGCCCCGGCATGGAGGCTGGCATACACCAAAGGCAAGTGGAAAAGGGCCGTGTGGGCTTGGTGTTATCTGACAAACCACCAAGTGTGTTGGGTTCCCTGTCCCCTCCGTACCCTCTGATGGGAGCGTGCGCATCTACGGTGCTCATTCTCCTCTTCTCCATTTTTTACAAGAACCTATTTGTTTTTCAGTGCCTTTGTTCCGCTTCTCAAAATGTAGCCAAAATAGAAGGAAATGAGTTACGGGTTTGCTATTTTGAAAACTTACTATAGAAACCATGAAGTGTTATGTCTGCCATTACTACTTTCTGGTACTGCAGCCGTGTTTATCTTTTATGCTGTTTAATTAAAGCTCCTTTAGTAAGGGTTATAGTCATAATATTCTGCTGTTCAAATACTCATAACCTAAAGTCATCAGATTAGGGTGAAGGGTAGATATTTTTTGTAAAAAATTGTTTTAGAAGTTAAACATCATAAGCCAATAATCATAGTTCCCATCAATATCCTTTATAACTTAAAAATGCTAATGCTCTTAATAGAAAAACAATTTAATTCCAAAGATTGAAATAATGAATCCTGTTAGAGAAAATCCTTTCGTTCATTTTGCTTCTCTTATGTTTGGTAAATGGACTATCCATAAAGTTTTGTTCTTCTAAAAGAACAAATTAAGTTCTTCTAACTGGTTCCTTCCAAGTGTTTTGATTAGGTAAAGAAAACAATTCTAGTCCAGGAAGAAATTCACACTACTTTATTTTCCCTTGACTTTTTGTTATAGATGCAAAATCATTCTAAGGCTTTTACTCACAAACAAATAAATGATGTTTCCAGGGATTCTGGAAACATCTAAAGGCCAAGATCTTGGCACAGCATTACAGAGCAAACAAGGCGCTAAAGCTTAGATGTGATCACACTCGATGAAGTCGTCATTGTCAGCACCCTCAAAAGGTCTGTTTGATTTGGATCAGCATGGATGATATTTCTTAAAGCCCTAGAAATAGTACAGTGTGCTTACGTGGATATAGGAAAGTAAACTAGAAGGAATATATCTTGAAAAGTTCCTCCTTTTTTCAGGAAAAAAAAAAGATCTGATAGCTTTCAACAATCAAATGCATGTCTGATGGAAACTGTATGTACTAGAAAGACTAGTTCATGCTATATTTAAAAGAGGAAAGAGAAAAATTACATAATTGTCATAGTGCTTTTAAAAGTTAACGTTCAAAATCAAGTTCTTTTTTGTTAGTGTAGCAAGAGCTACAGAGAGAGAGAGAGAGAGAGAGATCTGAGGAGACAGTTGTTTTGATGGAAAAGACAAGCTGACATTCCAAAACTAAAATGTGAAGCCAGCAATGCTTACCCTCAAAGTAGGGTTCTCTTGCTCTTTTCTTTAGATCCAAAATGCTGTAAGTGAAGATTACTTTTCAGCAATGTAGATAATGTATGATACTTAATTTTTTTAAGTTGCTATGGTTGTGACAATTTCAAGATAAAAGGTGAAGATCACAAAGCCAAGTAATTGGGCCATTTTCTGCCAGTGATCCTGTTGCATAGAGCAACGAGGAGTTGTATGTAGTTGGCTTTAGATGAAGATAATATTCAACTGTAATAATAGACAAATAGAATGACAGAAGGGTGAGTGTTCAAGATGCATTGTACTTATAAATTGACATGCTGAACTGAAACCCCTTTCTACAACTAGAGATAATGTTTTTAAAAAGACAAATAAAAATGAGCTGACTGCAAGATTTAATCCTTTCCTAAACTTGATTTATTAGAACTTGTGATGTGTCTGCTAAAAGTGGTATTAGAGAAAGAAAAGTACAATAGATAGAAATCAGACATAAAATTTATATTAGTAAAATCATTATTGTAATAAACTAAATATTATGGACTATGTTCTGTTTTTAAAAGAATTATACCATAGTCATCTTCTATTTAGAAATATTATCTGGGGGGGGGTTATTTTGTAATGTAAGATTTTAAAGACAATAAATGTTCCCTTAGATGATTGAATCATTAGAAATATCCTTGATATCTATGGTTGTGGTTCATATGTGGAAGAATGTGCCAAAAAGGGAACAATACTTGAGACTGTTTCTCATCCTTGGATAAATCAGTCAGCTACTACCTCAACACTGAGTGACACAAAAGACTAATTTCCTATGATACCTGATATGCCAAGACTTGAATCCAGAAACTGTGATAGTGGGCACATTAAGGATCTTGAGGAAAGGGAGAAAGAAAGAAAGAAACAAAGGAAAAGAAAGAAAGAAAAATAGAAAGAAAGGGAAAGACAAAGAAAAGAAAGGACTAGAATCTTCTTAGTTTCTTCCCTTAAAATAGATTTTGAAAGTAGAAGGAAAACATTACATAATTGTAGAAATAACAATGCTTTTAAAAGTTAACATTTAAAAGCAAGGTTTTTTTATTATTATTGTAGCAAAAGCTACAGACATTTAGGAGTCGGTTATAAGTGAAAGATTATCTGTTCATCAAAAATTCAGAGCCAGACACCAGCAGTGGTTCACACCTGTAATCCTAGCTACTCAGTAGGCTGAGATCCAAGGATCAAGATTCAAAGCCAGCCTGGGCAGGAAAGTCCACAAGACTATTATCTCCAATTAACCACTAGAAAACTAGAAATTGTGCTATAGTTCAAAGTGGTAGAGCACTAGCCTTGAGCAAAAGGAGCTCAGGGACAGCACCCAGACCCTGAGTTCAAGCCCCAGGACCTAATAATAATAATAATAATTCTGAGTTCTGGTAGCTCATGACTGTAATTGAAACTGCTCAAGAGGCTGAAATCCAGAGGACTGCAGTTCAAAGCCAGCCTCCGAAGAAAAGTTTGAGAGACTCCATCTCCAACCAGCAAAAAGATGGGCTAGACACATGACTGAAATAGAGCACCAACCACATGAACAAGCTCAGCATGAAGCCTGAAGTTCAAGCTCCAAAACTAGCAAAAAACGAAAAGGCTAACATCCAGAATTCAGGTTCTAGTAAGGCATGATGACGTACGTCTAATCCCAGCACTGGAGACTCTGAGGTAGGAGAACCAGGAGTTTGAGGCCTGAGCTATATAGCAAGATCTTGTCTCTAAAATGAAAGAAAACTGAAACTGAGATTCCTTTCATGGAAGAACTAAAAAGCTGGTCAAGCAGATCAACAAATTGAAAAACAAAGAAGACTTGCATGTACAAAACACAAAAATTAAAAACCAAAGTTTAATTATTAAGAGCACAGAACGGGTAATTCTGTGACAGAGTACTTGTACTTAGTGGTGGTTTTTATTGGTTTGGTGTAAGTTTTGGCCTAGGTGATAGAATATTTATTCAACAGGAAGACTGTTGAATAACATGGCTGTTTTCTTCAGGGTTTAGCATATGTATCTAATGGTGAATGTGAACTCAGATTTATCTGGGCATAATTTTTCCACATGAAGAATTGTGCCTCATTGGAGTAGTCATTAAACTGTATCATTAGGTCAGTTTCTTAGTGAATTAGAATAAAAAGTACCATACTGCCCCTCACCTAACAAAAGGATAGCTTTAAGTTTCATTTCATGATATGAAACATGTTTATGTCATATGATGCATTTTTATATATACATAAAACATTCACACATAAATATTAATAATGTAAATATATAAATGTGTGTACTGGGTCAAATATATATATATGTTATATTTTTATTGTAAAGGTGCTGTACAGAGGGGTTACGGTTACATAAGTAAGGTAATGAGTACATTTCTTGTCAACATTGTTACCCACTCCTTTGTTTTTCTCCCACTTTCTGACCCCCGCCACCTCTCCCCTCCCCCACCCAAAAAAAAAGTTGTATCTTGTGAGTGTCATTGTTGCCTTGGGTCATCCTTTGTCCTTTTTTTCACCATTTTATTATTCCCCTTCCCTTCCCCAAATCAGATAAACATATATATAAGACACAGGGTACCAGAATCAAAGACAATGATTGCCAGCAATTATATTACACACACACACACACACACACACACACACACACATTATTGTGGATCACAGTAAAAAAAAATGAATTGAAAGCCACTGGCTTAGGAAAATTTAATGCTAAAAGGTTAGTAAGGGATCCTCTAGTATTAACTATACACAGCTAGT